GTTTCCTACCACAATTTAAACTTTTAGTAAACACTGTTGAAATTGTTGAAATGTAAACACCTTTCGATGAATGATATATATATTTTGATTGTGCCATGTATTTATGGCTACGTGGATTTTATCAGATCTTCCTTCTAAACTGCATTTTATTCGATCATATTATTCCTAAACTGTCTGTTTGTAGTATCTAATAAAGCCCGCCACTCACGTTTCAACGCGACAGTACGATTTTGTCGAATGCTACAAAACGTAATTTGATCGTGTATTTGCACCAGTCGACCAAGTCGACGGCAGGCAAACAAGTCAGTAAGTCAGTCTCAAATCAGTCAGGCAAACAAGTCAATAGGTCAACTCGTGTATCTCGGCAGTAATATCAATGAGAGCTGGGATCCAACCGCAGAAATTAAAAGCCGAATAGAACAAGCCCGAGCTGCCTTTGTAAAAATGAGAAACGTACTTTGCAGTCATGATCTTAGCATTGACCTTAGAGTTCGTATGATATCTTGCTACATCTTTCCTGTCCTGCTGTATGGAGTAGAAGCGTGGACCCTAACTGAGGCTATGCTTAAACGCTTGACAGCCTTTTAGATGTGGGTATACAGACGACTACTGAAAATAAGCTGGGTCGACAGAGTTAGAAATGAGGAGGTCCTTAGACGGCTGAACCCAACAACACAACTGGTCAATATAATAAAGAAACGCAAGCTGGAATACTTCGGTCATATTATGAGACACCCTGAAAAATATGATCTTTTACATCTGATCATTCAGGGACAGATCCAAGGTAATCGTGGTCCTTTTAGAAGAAGAACATCATGGCTGAAAAATCTAAGGCAATGGTGTGGAAAATCAACTACATCGTTATTTAGAGCTGCTGTCAATAAAATCACGATAGCGAATATGGTAGCCAACATGATATCCAACGATCGATAACGGTCATGGAACTAGAAGAAGAAGAAGTCAGTCTGCAGCAGTACGACCGAGTCGATTGGTTCGTAAATTTGATCGTATGTATTGTGACAACGACAAAATCGTACGACTTCAAAAAAAAATCATTTGCTGGTAAATTTCGAAAATGCATTATAGTGAGCAGTTTTATATCATGATAAAACCACTAGAGAAAAAGCTATGGATCTTTTGGTTGCTAAATTTCAAGAAGTGAAAGCGGATGCCAATGAAGAGGTGGTAAAAAAGGACAGAATAATTTTCGAACATCTTACAAAAGGGAATTAAAATTAGTAAAAAACAGCAGCAAATTCGGTGCATGATCGGAGGAAATTGATAAGCCAAAGTATGGTTTCAATTACTATCTTATTTGGGCGATCAAGATTTTCCAAGAACACCTATTTCTAATTGTCTGATGAGGAAGGAAGATAAGTAAATGAATGAAATCTTATCATATAGCTTTATTTTGCCAGATTACAGCTCCTTCAATATTAAAATCCTCCATAAAATTGTTTCTTGATAAAATCATTGAGGTATAGTCCATTTCCATCATAATGATAGCACATTATATATTCAAATCCCTAAACTGTTGATACGGGTGACTGATGAAAAATAGATATTTGTCAACAAGTTTACAGAAGTATATAGGAAAACAATTTTAAATTGAGTATGACCACCAGGTATGAAGGTTGAAGCAGAATAGAATACAATAGTTTTGAGGGTTACTAATCCCTAAATAAAGTTGCCAGTGTCGGAGTGATGGAGATTAACAGGTACTAATGAAGTTGCAAGAAATGTAAGATGTTTATTTTATTGGTTATATATAAAATAATTGGTGGCCGTAACAGGGACCGATTTGTAAAAAAAGAATATTATTTTAATCAAATTCCATTTCAGGTTCACTGCTTTCTTCAGAATCTAAGGAATCTTCAACTCCAATGTTAATTATTACCGGTTCCAGCATTGCATCAGTCATATTATCCAAATTCCACATTTTATTTTCTTCCTTGTGAGCATGACTAACAGCATTTTTCCAATTTTTTGGAGTTAGTTTTGATAAAGAATGTTCCAATAATTGTTGTAAGTCTTCTAATTTAAAAGTTTTGTTGTTGCATCCGACTTCACCCTCTACTTGAGACCATATATTTTCTATCGGATTCAGATCACAGTGGTATGGGGGTAAACGTAGAATAATTACATCACGGTTTAATGCCATTTCATCAATTATATATTTTTTATAAGCTGCTTTAATTTGCCTTACAACAGGTAATAATTCATTTTTTGTCGAATTCTCCTTGTACTCAATTCCGTGTTTATCTAACCATTCGATTATCTTTCCTTTTTTCCATGCCGTTGTTGGCAATTTTTCTGCTAGTCTAGAATGGTAACTAGCATTATCCATGGCTCTGACAGAATTTTTTGGAATTAAATCCAACATTTGCTCAAAATATTCTTCAAAAACGTCAGGAGTCATTTCCTCGTGGTAATCTTTGGTTGATTTGGAGGCAAAACTTAATTATCCACCATTGACAAAACCGTATTCGTTTCCAATATGAGTTATTATGAGTCTGCGTCCTTTTCAAATGGGAATATTGTTTATTCCAGTAGATACACCTTCGATGAATGACTGACGGGAACTTTTCACATTTGTATCAACCCATAGATATGGTACAGTATGACCTTCATTTAGCCAAGTCTCGTCCAAATAAAAAATTGTTTTCCCTTCTTCTCGGTACTTTTTATAGTCTTAATAGTCTTAATAGGTTTTATTCTTAGATAATCTCGTCTCCAACATACAATGTAATCTTTTTCAATTAAAACGGATTTTCTTCTATTCTTTTGCCAACGAAATCCCATCTCTCTCAATAGTCCCCATAATTTCTTGTTGCTTACGATTGGTAACTCTTCGTTTTCTCTAATTAATGTTTGGATTTTGTCCAAGGAAATTCTTTGTTAAAAAAAATGAGTGGACGCTGCGTCTTATCATGATTTTATGTATTTCTTCAATTTCCAAGGGTTTACTCCCTCCACTCTTCTTGGGAGATGAAACAGTTCCTTTTTTTTCTTTTAGGCATCTATAAATTGTTGCTTCTCCAACCCCTGTCATATTTGAACACATGTTAATGATTTCACGAACATTACTTAAAGGGCGTTGATGTACAAGTGCATCGTGTACATTTAATATTATATTTTTCTCTATTAGACTGAAGGCACCTTTAAAACTACACTTAACCGAGATAAAACCTGTTGTCGACGTCATTTTTAAATGCAAATAACAAAATATCGACACGTAAAACGTAAGTAGCTAAGACATGAACGATGTACATCTACAAACTAAATGGAAGATGCAAACAATTTCTAATTTATATTATTGGCATAAGCTGTAATGTGGCATAAAAAACTACTTACACTATCATTAGTGAAGCCTTATCAGTAATTCCAGATAATCGTTCAAAGAAGGTATTCTTTTTATGTCAGGCGATAACTTGCATAGAAAACAATAACCACCTTTACATTACTGTTTACATTAATTTATTTCGTGAAACGTTGAATTCTCTCGTTAAACACCCGTGTATAATTAACAATAATCGTGTGGCATATATACCGACGTTTTTTACGCACAAAAAAGGTATAGTGAGATTAGTGGACACTTATTTTACACAAGATTTTTTAAAAGATAATGAATTGTTGACGGCATCTTAAAATATTAATTTTTTTTTATTTATTTCAAAACAAGTATAGGGTGACGCCTATGGTTTTTTTGACCTGTTGAGGATTTGCATACATAATGTGCTATCAATATGATGGAAAAGGACTATAGCTCGAAGATCTACTGTAACTGTTCCAGATTCGTGATGTTCGTGATGATCTAAATGCTCAGTAGGAGTATATACTTGCGAATATTTTATTCTCAACAGATTGTGTAAGACGCAACACGACACTATCATCTCAATTGCTCCTAAATTAACATTGATTACCGTATGAAATATTCGAAACCTAGCACCCAGAATTCCAAAAACGTTTTCAATTATTCGAGTCTGAAAAAATAGCTCTTTTTCTCCCTAAATTTCTCTGGGGAAATGGTTTTAGCAAGTTTTTCACTAACGAAAAAGCATCATATCCGACAAATACTTAAGGTAGAGTCAGTTCACTGTTTTGTAACTTTTCTGGTTTATGTATTTGCAGAGGTTCAGACCAGTTTTTCATAAAATGTTGTGTTATTTAATACCCCGTCATCGAAAATTCTATTGCTATTTTATTCTATGTTTAAAGCATAAAATCTAACTAGGATTTTTTTATTTAACAGATGTGTCTCATTGTAACCTTGCAAATTCTCATTTATGCAAATAATTATAATAAATCGTTTATTAAGGTTTTTTGCCTCATTACATATCTCTTTTAGTTTCACAGGGTAGTTATTTGAAAGATAAAAAACATAAATTGAATAATAGGAAATTTAATTGAGTTAACCCACAGGTTTGTTAATTTGCTGAAAATAAATTAGTTGGCGGTCATTTTGGTTTATTCAGGATCTCTGTCTGGTTCTATTTAACGTTCTTCCAGTTCTCACTTTTCACACTCAAATTATTTAAGGAAGAAATCTGTTGTAATTTTATTCCTTTTTCTTGCTCTCTAATCCCACCTTTCTTTTGTCTTTTGTCTTTCGAGCTTACTTCGTTGGTGCTCTATTCTATTGTTCTTTATTTATTCTTTTCTATTCTATACTTTCTTTAACTTCTATACTAACTTCGACTATCTTTCCTTCCAAAGCCGTAGGATGGTAGCATATCACTAAAAGTAATTTTTTTTATTTTATGTATTTATTGTCTATTTAATAAATATAATACTACTGACTATCCTGTTGTAAAAATAAATAAAAACTGCATAGTATGGAAAACGTTACTTTTGTTACTTATTTTACACAAAAATTAACAAAAAAAATACATTTTCATTTAGTTTATAAATTCATGCTATAAATCAGAGATTTTCGACTAAGTAAACATGTCACGCAAAATGAGGTTAAATAACCAAAAATAATATATGTTTTTTTCTTTTCAGCTCTTGGAGATGCTAAAATTTTACTCCAGATTTGAAATAAGCGATGAATCAGGAGACCCGCTTACTGATCGGGACATGACCCAGATCCATTATTCGAAAATAACTAGTTTACAGGTAAATTTAGTATAAATTCTTTATTTTCTTACTAGATAAGACGAATATTCTCATTGAATATTTTTGCCTAATCGCAATTGTGGAGATATTCCCGAATAATGTCAAAGATGTCACCCGTACAAATATTGGAACAATTTTATTTAAGCAATTTTTTAACAAATTATAAAAATCAATTTTTGGGGGCCGTGCAATGTTTTGTTGTTATTTGGATCCTTCTAAACAAAAACTAAACAATTTAAAACTAAAAAAAAAAACGAAATATCACGATTTTCAAGGTTCAAAAACAGTAGTAAAAATATTATTTTGGAAATCAAGTGTCTAAATTCAAGTTCAAACCTTGTTCTATCAGCGTTCTATGTGTATTTTGGCCTTATTTTATTTTAAAACATTGTGTTTAGTTTTTTAGTTGTTAATTAATACTGAAGTGCTTATTAAATAAGGCGAAAAGCATATCAGTGGTATATTCATAAATTTTATAACTACCGAGCGCACATCATGTTAGAAGCGTTTTATTAACAATTAAAAAATAATGTTTAACCCCAAAATGCTCACAGGAAAATGATAAAGGAATGTTTGAACTTGAATTAAGAGGGGGATGAAAGGAATAGGGTTATTTTCATATTTAAATATGCATTATAAAATATAATAAAAAATATATAAAATATAAATATAAAAAGGTTTTGTGATGTTCATTGTAACTTACAATGGATCATCTGTTGACAAAATTTAGGTAGTTACATTACGAGTTTCCCTAGGTCGAGATATTGTTCAATTTATCGTTTTTTTCGAATTTTAGAAGTAAAAAAAGACGAATTTTTAAAATTTTCGAAAATTTTTAGTTAAAATTTGACTAATTTGATGTTGTAAAATAAATTGTAACAACAAAATGGACAGACAAAATTGAGAAGCATCGATCAAGTAGTTTTTGAGATACAGTGAACACCGCCTTGAAAAATATTATTCCGAGAAAAACCCGTTTAAAAAAAGCTTAATTTTTTATACTCACACAGTATCGTCTATTCCAGGCCCATACAGCGACGTGCTTCCTTATATATCTAGAACATCATTTTGCTCCTACTTTCAACGAACTCTGCCTTTTTTGTTGCATCTGCAGCCATTTTATCCGCTCTAGTAATTAGATTATTATCTGCCGCGAGTTCATAATTATGAGAACTTGACACACTGTACTTATTCCGATTTACATGTGAGTGCCGACTCACCTCACTCACCCACCTCACTCACTCACCTCACTCACTCACCTCACTCACTCACCTCACTCACCTCACTCACTCACTCACCTCTATCACTCATCAAACTCACTCACCAAGCTCACACCTCACTCACTCACCTCACTCACCTCACTCACTCACTCACCTCTATCACTCATCAAACTCACTCACCAAGCTCACACCTCACTCACTCACCTCACTCACTCATTTACCTCAATCAGTCACCTCAATAACTCACCTCGCTTACTCACCTCACTCACTCACTTCACTCACTCACTTCACTCACTCATCAAACTCACTCACCAAGCTCACACCTCACTCACTCACCTCACTCACCTCACTCACTCATTTACCTCAATCAGTCACCTCAATAACTCACCTCGCTTACTCACCTCACTCACTCACCTCACTCACTCACCTCACTCACTCATTTACCTCAATCAGTCACCTTAATCACTCATCTCACTCACTCATCTCACTCACTCAGCTTACTCACTCAACTCGCTCACTCATAAATGCCTATATCTCCATCAATTTTGCTCCGATCACTTTGAAATTTCAAGTGGATACTCTTGGAGAGTTATACTAATGAATACAAAAATAAAAAAAAATAAAAACGTAAAAGAATACTCTACTCCTCCCCCCCCACTTAAGACACTTGTTTATTTCAAAAATATTATTCTTTCCTTGTGTTTTTAAGCCCTGAAGATCGTCATTTTTCATTCCTTTTTCCGTTTTAAATTGTCTATACACGACATAGATGCTAGGTGGGGAACATCAAGGACTGGGTAAGAAATAGAAGAGTATAATGGATGGAACGATCATATAAGCCGGATGACAACAAATATACTAGTAAAGACTGCAAGAGACGGTTAATGTCGAATAAAAGGTCAACGGTAAAAGAGACGAATAGGAACTTACTGGAGACACATTGAAAAACAGAGAGTTATGTCTACATAAAAGGAAAAAGAAGAAAAAAGAAGATATTATTTATAAGTCGTAAACGATCAACAAAGACTATTTGTTCAGAAGGATTCAGAAGAATTTATTTAAAAAAAGTTTTAAATAAAATTGGGACCAGTTTCCGCATGACCGACTTCATCTCACGAATGTGATTATATTCTTCTTCTTAGAGTGCCGTCTCCCTACGGAGGTTGGCAATCATAATGGCTATTTTTATTTTAGAACTTGCTGCTCTAAACAAATCAATCGATCTGCATTGGTACCAATCACGTAGATTCTTTAACCATGAGTTCTGCCTTCGGCCAACAGATCTTCTTCCTTGAATCTTTCCCTGTATTATCAGTCTCAAAATTTCATATTTTGGTCCCCTCATCACGTGGCCTAGGTATTCCAGTTTTCTGGTTTGTATAGTGGTGATTAGTTCTGTTTCTTTACAAACCCTCTCCAGTACTTCTTTATTTGTAATTCTATCAGTCCATGATATTTTCAATAATCTGCGGTATAACCAGAGTTCGAAAGCCTCGATTCTTTTTAAATTACATTTTTTTTAATGTCCAAGTCTCAGCTCCATATAATAATATTGAAAATATATAACAGCGAATGGTACGTAGTCTGATCTCCAAATTTAGATTTTTGCACGTTAGGAGTGGCTTCATTCGTATAAATGCTGATCTGGCAATCTCTATTCGTCTTTTTATTTCTACAGTATGATCATTGGTTTCATTGATCAAAGTTCCCAAACACTGATATTTTTCTACTTGTTCTATCACGTTACCATTTATTGTCAATAGGTGATGTATATTTTGTGGCCTTTTTGTAATCAGCATGTACTTCGTTTTTTTTTTAGCGTTTATAGTAATTCCCATCTCAGCACTATTTATACTCAAGCTTTCGATAAGATGTTGTAGATCGTCTATACTCGTTGCTATGATCACAGTGTCGTCTGCATATCGTAAATTATTAATTAATTTTCCGTTAACGGTGACTCCCGCTTCGATATTATTGAGCGTGTTTTGGAAAATTTCTTCAGAATATAAGTTAAACAAAAGTGGTGATAACACACATCCCTGTCTAACTCCTCTACAGATCCTCATTTCTTCTGAGTGTATATTCTGTGATTATATACGTCATGGTAATATTGTTCCAACAAACCCGAGCTTTTTGCCTTAAATATATAAATATGGTTTATATTCTAAGGATGTTGAAAATTTCCATAGTATTTCCATTTCTCTTTTACATACCCGATCATCTTTGTGTGTTCAAAATAGATCATTTTCATCACATTTCCTAATTTCATAACATGGATCTCACTTTCCTATGTACTTTATGAACTTCATAAAAAATATATCATCATCAATCAGCCACTCGCGTCCACTGCTGGACATAGGCCTCCCTCAGTTTTTCAGTGTTCTCTACACTGGGTCGCTTGTAGCCAGTTTCCCGCTACACATTTTTTATCATCGTTCCACCTAGTCAGTGGTCGTCTTCGGCTTCTTTTATAGTGTTTGGGCCTATATAAAAAATATATACGTATCAATAATAACATGATTATGATTATAGATGCATCATGTACGATTTCCGCCTAGTGCATTTCTGCGTAGGCGTCCACTGTTCATTGTCTTGTCATGTGTTAGGTAGTCAGGATTAAATTGTTCTATTGTTAGCAGCATTTCGAAACATTTCATAACGAAGCAGTCTTGTTATAATATATGCCATTTTTTATTTTTTATGTTCAAAAATATATTGGAGACTAGCTCTACGTTATGGAAAGTATTCGGCGAAGACACTACATTTCAAAAGCGTCAAGTTTGTTGATGTAGCCGGACTCCATACAATAGAATATGCCAAACATAATAATTAAGCATCTTGTATTACAAAATGAAATCCAATTTGCGATCAGTCAGAAACTTACGAAGTTTCAAGAAAGCTTTTCTGGATGGTTGTTCTGTGCCTTTTATTTCAATCTCGGGGTTTTAACTGTCATTTTGGTTGTTTAAGAGACAAACCAAATATTTAAACTGCTTGACTTGGTCGATTTCTTCTTCAGTTACGTATATCTTGGCATTTGGTTGAGTATTTCTACGTATAATCATGATTTTCATCTTCTTGGTATTTATTTTCAAATTCAAAGCTTCACTGGCATGACATTTATAAGATATTTAAGGTAGTCGATGTTATCTTACGGTATCACTGTGTCGTCAGCATACCTCATGTTATTCATAAATATGCCGTTCATTTTAATATCTTTGAAACATTCTGCTACTGATTTATGAATGCTCCCTCTACGTATAAATTAAACAACTTTGGATGTTTTTTATCATTATTTCGTATTTTATATTAATGAATCATCATCATAATGACACAGCCTGTAGCATCCGATCTTGAAAGAGTTTAAAACTAGTTTGTTATAAATTGCTTTACACCATCCGTTCATTGTATCGAAGGCCTACTCATATCTCTATATATCTGGAATCTGGGACACCCCCATCATGCCCTGAGTTCACTTGAGTCATCGGTTCTCGCCATATATTACACTTCATATGTGCTATCTTTTCCACAGCATCTGTAATTCCTGTTCTGGCTCTTATAATGACATTTAGAACTCTATCTCTTAGCGCTAATGCGATATCGATTGCTCCATGGCTCGCTCAGCCACTCTGATTTTATTCACAGATTTTTTAGTAAACTTTAAAGTTTTTGAATCATAAAACACTCAAGGCATATTTTGTTCAAAACCTTCCTTTTCAGATATATTGGTACCTATACTGATTTTAAAGGCAGACGTGCTAATTTTATTCGTCTTTTATTTCGTAGGTGTGGTTATCTTGATTTATTCTAAGTTCATGGTCTAAATATTTCCATTATGTATTATATGCTCAATTTCTACATCTTTTACGGATTCCTTGTTAGGAATAGAGAGAATAGAGAGGACTAGAGAATAGAATTTGTCGTTTATCTTTTTAAAGTATCTTTTACCTCGATTGACGCGAGTTTGGGTACTTAACAGCTTTTGAGCTTGTTTGAGACTGTTTGAAATCAGAAAAATATACTCTAATGTTAATGTTAATTGAAGTATTGGTAAAATGTTTTGGTATAATGTACGGTATGCGTCAGCTAGGAAGAACGGATACAGCTTCCAATATATTCGTACTACTTCGACAGGAAGCATCTTGCAACAAACCACGACACTACATTTTGTTAAGAATATTACCCATTGAAGAATTCCCGGTCTCATTCTTCTTAGCTGGCGATTGCTGTAACTATGAAATTAAAATTTATTGAATTATACATATTTTTTATACATTCTAACATTAAACAAATTCTTGCAGCAAGCAGCATTTGCTAAATTCCCAGATTTGCGAAATTTTTCACTAGCCAACGTTGCGAGTGTTGACACAAGAAAAAGTTTGGTAAAGCATTTTGGACCGCTAACGTGAGTATTTTTTTTTATTGCATATTAAGCATATTGATTATTGTTATTGATTATGTTATAGACGAGAAAAATTGAAGGCTATCGCTGTCTATTTAAATCTTGTACCTCCTCCTGAATTAGAAGAAGATTTTAAGTGGTGTAGAACAGACGAAACATTTTTAAGGGAACTTTTGGTAAGTATATGACATTTGTCTTCCATAAAACATTTTTGTACAGGTACAGATACAAGTTTATTAACCTGCGGTTAGCGATTACATCAAACTTATCTTAGCTGCTATTCCTAGTTATTTTTAAGTTCTTTCCAGCTCCTGATGTTACCCAACTAGGACAACCTCTTTATCTCTGTGCCACACACATCACATCTAGTCTATTTGTGTTAGTTATGAGATGAAATATTTGTTTTTACATTATACGGAGGACGGCAAAAGTCTCGATTATCTTAATAACAGACAACCATTTTCTGTAAAAAAAATCCTCGGACAGATCGATTTAAATTTCAGTTTAAATGTTCCGTGTCAAATACCTTTAAGTTTTGACGTCACTGGCATCTTTTTTAAAACGGAATGTCTTGTATATTTTTATAGCAATTAAAAGGGAACCTGTATCGTTCGCAAACATATTTGTTTTACGGTTCAAGTATAAATAAGTTTTTAATACTAAAATAATAAAATACTACAGACAACCAAAAAAAAATATTTCAGATGTTCAAAGTGTCCTTCAACCAATACCTGACAATAGCCCAGCCTATTTTGGAACTCATATATTATATATATATATATATATATATATATATATATATATATATATATATATATATATATATATAATATATGTCAATGGAACCTGTTTAATTCGAAATCTTCTTTAATTCGAATTTTTATTCTGGTCCCTAGCGTTTTCTATATAAGTAATGGTAAAAAGTAGTGAATAATTCGAATTATATTTTGGATAATTCGAACTTTCCTACAACCTAAAATGCCAATTTCATGCTGGAAATTTCCGCGAAAAGAGGTAGTATTCTTTCCTATTATCAGGCTCCACTTGTTTCAAGGCATTCAGGACCAACCCGTACCGCAGTCACGTCAGCATGTCATTGCGTTTTGAGCGAAGATATCGTCGCTTGGTAAATTTTGAACATACAAGATTTTGACGTTATCGGAAAAAATAGCAGCAGTTAAAGAAGTAGAAAAAGGGACAAAGAAAAAATCTGAGATTCCTAGGAATTTGAATTTCTCCTAACACATGATAATTCACACCTACTTTTTTAAATAGGTGGACATACCTACTTAAATAATAAAGAAAAAAATCTCCAGTTGTTAAGGGAGCCAGTAAACCCAAATGTTTTTTAAAATGGTTCGAACAAGCTAGGGATAAGGAGATTCCCGTGAGTGGTCCCCTTATAAGAAGCAAATCTGAACAATTTGTTATGGAAATATACAGGGTAGCTAGACGGCTTCAAAGAACGTAACAAAATTTCATTCAAATCCATTTGTGGAGAAAGTGCGGCCGTTAATCAACAAGAAGCCAACGAATGATCATAAATGGAAGGAGATGATTCAGGATATAGATGAAAGAGATATCTTCAATGTTGACAAGACGAGTCTTTTTTAAATTCAGTCCTGCCAAAACACTGACATTCAAAAATAAAAAATGTCACGGAGGAAAACTAAGCAAAGAAAGAGTTACTCTTCTAATTGGTGCAAACATGGACGGATCAGAAATGCTGCCTTTACTGATGATTGGCAAGTCGGCTAATCCGCGTTGTTTTAAGAACGTCAAGTCCAAACCAGTGGAATATGTGAGAAGCACCACAGCTTGGATAGCTAGGGATCTTTTCGAGAAATAACTCATGAAATTAGACAAAAAGTTCATAAAAGAAAAAACTAAAGTTAGTTTGTTTATTGACAACTGTACGGTCGGCCTACGACACTATCCCACTAATGGAAAATGTAAAAGTTATTGTTTTCCTGCCAACATGACTTCATTTCTTCAGCCTATGGACCAGGGCATCAAAAAAATCTTTTAACAGCGTTTTTTGGTTGAAAACATATTGACGGAAGATTGCAACTCCCTTGAACAAAAAGTTAGACATTCTTCAAGCCTCTCGAATGTGTAAGAAAGCTTGGGAGAAAGTAACACCCGAAACGATTAAACATTGTTTAAAAAAGCTAGTTTCGCAAAAAATAAGGAGAACACAGAAAACGCTATCGACACTTTAAGCTAAATTCTAAAAACAGCTAAAAACCTCAGATTTCTTTTTATTTCCATTTATTTTCCATTTTTTATAGCTTGCAAATATTTTAATTGTTTTTCTTGGCCGAATTTTGTTAGCCTATTTTTTTCGGTTGACAAAATAAGGGCAATAATAGGAACGAAAACATCTGCAAAAGATAAAAATGGTCAACTATTGTTGATTTTTATCGTTTGCAGATGTTTTTGTAGGTATCACTGTTTTTTTAGATATACATATTTTTAATTCGAGTTTTTGGATAATTCGAATTTTTGGATATTTCGAATTTTTTTAATGGTCCCCTGAGATTCGAATTATCCAAGTTTCACTGTATATATGTGTATATATGGTACTTTAATAGCACAATATTTGATCTGATTCGTTCTTTCAGCTCTTCCAAATTATCCAGTTTGTTAACATTCACTTTACTAATACCTATACAGAAAAAACTGTAAAGGTGTATAATGAAATGTAGCGATAATAAAAATGAAATAATTGAAGATAAATACGAGAAATAATCTATATTACAAAGTTTAAAGAACTTGTGTTGTTATAATAAAAATATTAATAATTCCGTTAAGCAGGCATAAAATTTAGTAATAACGGGATATAAGAAGTATTCACTTGTGTCGGTACTCCCCAAGTGCCACGCGCCGTTTTTTTAGTATATATATTTGTTTATTTATTTTTATTTTGTTTCTTTTTTTTATTTTTGTTTTGATTTCCTTTTTGCTTTATTTTTTATCCTTTTTTTTTAAAGACAACTTAACAATATTAAAAGTCACAGATTGCTTGCCAAATTATTATCTTAATTTTGAGGTTTAATAGGTTGAGTCTTTTTATACAATTTATAATCATAATTTTTGATCAACCGTAAAATACACTTTATAATTTTTGTGTTCAAAAAATCAGTTCATTTATGTAAAAAGGAAAGGAGATATTTGGATTTAGACCAGTCGTAAAGATATGGTCTCTAAAGATTATACGAACAATCTGAATTTTTCTGAGAATGTCAATTTTGGGACCCCAAAAAAAAGATATAAAAGTTTACCACGCCTACCCCTCAACTTACCCCTAAAACGCCCTCTCATAGGGAATGAAAACGGAAAAAATCGATTTACCAAGAATCGTTACGCCGTAAAAAAATATTTCAAATAAAAAATGTAGCTGAGATAAGTTTGAAAAAAAAATATATATTTAGTAAGTTTGTTTAATTATTTTACTACTTTTTCTACCGACAATTTTGATTGTCAGTTACGAGCGCGAAATCAATTTTAAATAAAATTTGTATCAACTCGATGGTAAAAATTCGATATCTCTTGATCAGAGTGTCCTATAACAAAAATCAAAATGAGTTTTAAAGGTAAAGAGTGGAGCTCACCTTTGCATTTTTTGTATTTTGCCGCAAATGTAGTCAATTTTTATAAAGGTGTTAAATAAATGGACGTTGCGTGATTTTTGACATTTTTTACGATTCTTATGAGATAAATAAAATTTCACTTTCATTAAATGGTCGTAGTAGAATTTCCATTGTTAAAGCCTAATCTTCAAAACCTATACCATAAAATATCCTTGTTGAGTTTTGGCAACAAATATGAGGCATTTGAAATATGCCCAAAAACGCGAAATTAAACTTTTACATTACAAACGATCCCACGTCACGGGAAATGTCTCCACCAAGACGTTATTATGATGGAGTTTGTAGCTGAAGCTGTGAAGCTTTAAAAGACGTACTTGTGTAATTGAACAGAAACAGTTTTAAACGTTTTAGATCGCTTATAATGTGATTAAATGAATTGAGTGCAATGAAATGAAATAAATTAAATTCAGCGTTTTTTAGGCATATTCCAAATGCCTCACATTGCATGTCGGTTACGCGTTATTAATTTCATTGAACGGTCATAGTGGAATTTCCATTGTTATAGCCTAATCTTCAAAACCTAGGCCATAAAATATCTATATATATATATATATATATATATATATATATATATATATATATATATATATATATATATAGATATTTTATGGCCTAGGTTTTGAAGATTAGGCTGAAGATATATATATATATATATATATATATATATATATATATATATATATATATATAGATATTTTATGGCCTAGGTTTTGAAGATTAGGCTATAACAATGAAAATTCCACTACGACCGTTCAATGAAATTAATAACGCGTAACCGACATTCAAAGTCACCGGTCGCTTCAAGCTTTGTTTCTAAGAGCGGTTCGTTCTACACAAAAAGTGCTAATAAACATTTTTAAACATAACATATGGGAAAATCTTCATTGGTGGACTATGTACATGTACAAAAAGAACAGAGGGACTGTTCCATAGGGCAGGAATAAACTGAGAACATCAACAAGAAATATTGACCGGAACGCACCAGTAAGAGAATTCCTTAATGCAATAGGTATTTACACTGAGAGCTTAACTGCAGACTCTGCCACAATGAACTAGAAACTGTGAAATATGCATTATGCGATTTTGAGATACTGGACCGCTAGACAAAGGCAAAAACTATATGGGCATCCGATAGGAGACTCTGGCATATTTAGGATACACCAAGCGAAAGACTTCTACAGGGTACAAAAATTCTAGACTGCCTGTAGGAAACAACAATGGACAGGAAATACAATAATCTCCAGCTTTGATGATAAAATAGATCTTGGATCAAGCCGACCCAGAGAACACAAAGAAAAAAAACTAGTTATACTTAAAAAATAGCGCACCTAGAACTTTATTACAGGAAAATATTTTTCAAACATCTTTTTAGAAACAAACCAAACGAGATAAAGTAAATTAAATAGACCTTTTAAAACACTCAAATGAAGAAAGAAATTAACTTACAACCCGTGGTTTATTCCCACTAACAAAAATTTTAAAAACTGTTCGAAAAAAAACCTTTAGAACAATATTTACACACT